CTGCCGTCAACTGTTTGGTTACCAACATTCTTCAAAATATCTTCTGCTGTGCATAATAGAAAAATAAACTCATACAGGTTTGGAACAAATTGAGGGTGAAGAAATGATGACAGAATTCTCACTTTTGGGTTAACTACCCCTTCACTCGCTGATGTACAGTCACTGTACTACAATATTTTGATTAATTCTGCCTAATTATTTTATTACTACACAGCGCTTGCAGGTGAAAAGTGTGTATTGCACATGATACAGGTAATATGGGAGGCATGAGGCGGTGTCAAATGAAAACCGAGAAGGCAGGATGGAGAGCGGATATTGTATGCCAGTCTATCGTCAAACTCACTTGTAAGATAAAAACTGTTTCACAGCTACATCTCCGACCTATTGTCGCTAAAACTCGAAGGACTTACTGGAACCTCAGTTTGCCAATAAGATGATATTCTTGTCATTCAAACCTATTAATCTCCTCGGACTTCTTGTGCGTGGTGGTAGGTAAAAAGCAGACTTCTTTAGTTAGTCCCAGAGATGGACATGGACTCTGCAGCCCCTCCTCAGAGCGTGCTGGAGTCATTCGACAGGAATGCCGCCGCATCCGAAGGCAACTGCGAATATTTACAGTCTGTTAGTAGCGAATCGAGCTCATTCATCATGGTTCAGCCCAAAAATCGTCTCGAAGTGCCATCCAGGTTGTGGGTGACAGCGGTTGTGGTCATCGTGATTGTCCTTCAAGTTGCTTCGACCACAGGACTCTTCTTATACTTGAACATGTCAATGGCAGAGGTAAAATTGCATTGAACAAAAAGTTGCATTACTATTATTGCTGTTAAGGGTGATTTATGGAACAATTATGCACTGTCGATATCATTCTAAACTTTATAGTATTTGCAGAACTTTTCCAAATGTATAGCCTAAGTTCCCATAACATCCTGCAGAACTAGAGCTCTTGTAGCTGTAAAATCATAATGGAGATCATATGGAAATGGCATTGAAGCTTTTTCTTACCCTGCAGGCTGACATGCTGTCATCTTGGTATCAAGTTTACAAGTTTTCATTGTGTCAGCACTGCTTTTTCTTTGAATATAATCTTGGGATGGTGATTACTGCATTTATTTAGCTGCCACAAGAATTAGGTCATGGCTCTTTGTCATAATCAGTTCTGATGCTATGAATCAGGTCAATAAATTTTGCACATAGAATTGCTAAATTCTTGACCTAAGCTTGCATTGTATTCATCCAATCTCTGCTAAGAGCTTTTGTATGGTGTCCTTTGTATT